GGCCTTGGACACTTCCAGGGATGGGGCAGCCACAGCTTCTCTGGGCAACCTGTGCCAGTGCCTCACCACCCTCAGAGGGAAGAATTTCTTCCTTAGATCTCATGGAAATCTCCCCTCTTTCAGTTTAAAGCCAGTGCCCCTTGTCCTATCACTACATGCCCTTGCAAAAAGTCCCTCTCCAATAATCTTTATATTAGTATAAAATGTTTATATCTTCTTTACTCCACTTCTGACTCATCTACAGAACAAAAGGCATCACTGGATACTTTGTCCAGTGTTCCCAGTGGAAAACATTCCCAGTTCTTGGCTATGCTGGAAGAGCAGCAATAACGAAAACAACAGGGGAAAATGTCTGGCTAAAGACCAGGTTAGAAGTCTCCCTGCCTCGCTGCCCAGCCCCACACAACTACCTCACTTTAGTAAGAGCTCCCACTGCGGCTGCCTGGCTTCTGGCAGCTTCTCTGGCACTTCCATCATAAGCCTGGAGAAGTCTTTGAAATCCACCACAAAATAAGCAATGCATTAGTCCACCTTCCACAACTGGTTTAGTGAGTTGCCTGCAAGCCACAGGTGGGTTGATCAATACATTAGATATCCAGAAGCCAAAGATCCATTTGCTGGCCAACTCTATGTAACTTACTAAAAAGACTGTGTTCATTAAAAATTTCCTGTCCAGAAGTGCAAAAATAAGTATTAGTAGCATTAAAGTGATGGATGTCTGCGTGGCATTTGTCCACACTTACCGACAGGAGCTTCAGCTAGGCTAATAGCTCTGCATTTCAATCCCCAGAAAGACCAGGACAGCCAAACCTGGAAGCTTCCAGCTAACAGACCTGGAGAAGCACCGAGCCTTCTGCGCAGCAGATGGTGTGATGGCAAATGAGTTGGCTTTACAGCCACCCAGCTCCACCAACAATGAATAAGTGGCAATGCTGCCTTCAGCAGTCCACCTGCCCCTTTGGGTGGCCAGCCCGTGCTGAAGCTGTCATTACAGCACTTACAGAGGCGCCACCGAGATACTGGCTCGAGTACCACACCCACACCAGCTCTGGGCCAAATTCAGTCTGGTCTTGCCCAAGGTGGAAGAGACGAGCACACCACACTCCCTTAGCCAACTCCCTGCAAGGGGCTGCCTGCAGGACACGTATTCTTGTAATGGAGCTCTTCCTTTCTAAGCTGGGAAAAGGCTGAGATCAGAAAGACTGCTTGGAGAAGTCTGTCTTTCCCTTTGTGGATAAGTGCTGGAAAGGCGAGGCTATCGTCTACAGCGGTACTTGGTGGAGGGAGGAGCATGGAAACCCTTGGTCAGCTCACACTGAGAGCAGAGTAGAGTTACCACTGCTGTGGTGTTACAGCATCTCTCAGGATGGGACCATCCAGAAGGGACTCCTGAAGGCTCTTAAACCGTTTGTCAGAGAAACAAATGGATGTACCACAACACAGCTCTCCTGCACGACCACGTCTCTGATGGGATGAGTTCAATTCCTGCAGGAAAGGAGCTGTGTCACTGGCTTAGCAATGCCTCACAAACATGGGTCAGACATGAAGAGCAACAAAATCCCACTGCTCTGTGTCATGAAACACTCCAAAGGGCATCTCTGCTCTCCAGGAGGGCAGAGCAGGGAAACATGCCAAAACCAACCCCAAAGGAAGAGTTTCATTACTAAAGAAAGACTAAAGCAAGTCTTGTTTGCCATGTGCTCCAGAAAGGTATTTGGCAGATAACATCTGACTGCACCAGCGTGCTTCCTTGCCTATTTTGGCATGCTATCTCTAGCCTGCAGTCAAGTGTTTTCAGATGGGTTTCTCCATCTCTAGGCTTGCTGCCTCCTGGTATTCTTTTTGCCACGTGAAGTCACAAACCAGCAAGAAAGTAAGACATGAGAATTGGCAAAATACGTCCCCTGCAAAGCAGCAAGTCAGTCTGTTGCTTGTTTAATGCCAAGGTGATGGTGCAGCTGGGCTTGTCCTCTGTGGGTCTTAAGAAAAATCACGTGTTTTACCTTTAGCTCTGCCCTTCTGGTTGGTATATTTTAACTAACTGGAGCTAAGAGTCCAGAAAACTTTCCTCTTACAATTTTTGCCTCTATTTATGTGCCATTCTTGCATGTTTTGACAGTTACCTGTTCACAGCTGGCCTCACACCTCTGACTAAGAAGTCTTCACAGTCATAACTCTCTGCTTGATCAAGCTTTCGCACCACAAGAGAAGAAAAAAAACTAAAACAATGAGACACGTGATTAACACAAGAGCCAAAAGGATAAAGCCACTTGACTTGCTTTTGTAAATAATTTGATTTCAAGTAGGAGCAGGTGTGAAATTAAAGACTGTTAAGCATTGATCATGATTTTACAATTCAAAAATTGAAAAAAGCAATACAACAGGCCTTGGTGAGTGCATGGACACAACCAGTCCTGCTTCATTTTCACACATCACCAGTCGAAAATCTAGTATTGGACCCACATACATCAATTGCCACTCCATGCTAGCTTTGTAGGCCAACTACAAACAATATTTTGTGTAGGCCAACAACAATATTTTCTCCCTACTCTACTTTGATCCTAGCAGTTAAAGCAGCCTTCAAAAATCATAACCACAGGAACCTTCACAGGGTTAGCAGAGCTCAGAACCTTTAATATCTGCACACTTGTTTGGAGAGAACAAGTGGAGGAGAGAAGAGCCATAGAGGATCTAAAACCAGTAGTTATACTGAGTTGTCTAGCCAAGTGATAGAGCTTCTTCCCCATTTAAAAGGATCCTGGAACAGGGAAGAGTTGACTTCTTCAGTCCTCTGCCCCGAGTTACACGATCTGCATGGCTAGCAGGTTGAGGGAGGGGATTCTGCCCCTCTGCTCTGCTCTCCTGAGACCTCCCCTGCAGTGCTGCGTTCAGCTCTGGGGTCCCCAACATCAGAAGGACATGGAGCTGCTGGAGCGGGTCCAGAGGAGGCCATGAAGATGATCCGAGGGCTGGAGCATCTCTGCTATGGAGACAGGCTGAGAGAGTTGGGGCTGTTCAGCCTGGAGAAGAGAAGGCTCCAGGGAGACCTTCCAGCAGCCTTCCAGTGCCTAAAGGGGCTACAAGAAAGCTGGAGAGGGGCTTTGGACAAGGGTGTGCATGAACAGGCCAAGGGGCAATGGCTTTAAACTTAAAGAGGGGAGACTTAGACTAGGTAGAAGGAAGAAATTTTCCACTCTGAGAGTGGTGAGGCACTGGCACAGGTTGCCTAGAGAAGCTGTGGCTGCCCCATCCCTGGCAGTGTTCAAGGCCAGGTTGGATGAGGCTTTGGGCAACCTGGTGTAGTGGAAGGTGTCCCTGCCCATGGCAGGGGGGTTGGAACTAGATGATCTTGAAGGTCCTTTCCAACTCAAACCACTCTATGATTCAATGACAAGCAGGCGTTTCCTCACTTAAAATACTGCATGGATTTTAGCTTCTGCAACTAATCCCCAGGCCAGAAGAGGACTAACTTGCTCCCACCATATTCATTTACACTCCTCAGACTGGAGAGAGTCACACATATTTGACCCATAGCGCACGCTCTCCATTCATACTGGTAGGGGATGAATATAACCCGAGTTAAACAGAGAACATGTTGGACAGCCTCGGCACGCGCTCAGACACTGTGCAACCGGAGAGTTCTGTGTGTATCGCCCGCCCCTGTCTTTGCTAAGGTAATCGAGGCAGTAAGTTATCCTTAGGGGCTCTGTCAGATCATGTTTCAAAGTTGATCGTTTCCCTGCACAAGAACACAGGGCTTACCTTAAAACCAAAACAAAACATAAAAGCTTGCACATTCTCCCCGTTCTCCTAAGACTCTAAAGTCGCCATGCGTTGCTTAATATGAAATAAACCCAACCAAAACACAACAACCCGCATTATCCGTGCTTCTCACATCGTGTCAGAATGCAAAGGCTATACTGGACTAATCTATCCAAAATCCCATCAGGAGCACCAAACCAGCGTGCAAACAGTGCCTGCAGGGCCTGCCAGAGGGCAGCCACGGCAACCAGGGAAAAGGAACGGTCACATCTGTCCAGCATCAAAACACCGACCCCCATCTCCCAGCGACAGGCAGCAACTTGCACTGCCATCCACTTGCTGAATTGCCAAAGACAAATGTTCCTCTTTCCCCAGCACCGGGGTGAGATACCCTGCGAGTTCTTTTGTTATCTTCTCTCCATTCCCTCCCTTCAAACCTCCCAGCTCACGAGAGCAACAGAGAGTTTAACCAGAGCAAGGCTGCGGGTGCATGGAGCCATTCCACACTGTCCCACCATCCACTACACCCCCACCTGCACCCATGCCAGAATTTATCTCCCACTCGGGCTGGAAGCTCCCGGGTGCAAGGGCTGTCTTCCTGCCTTGCTGTTTGCACAGCACATAGCGCAGAGGCCTTCACACGCTGATAGGCTTCAGGTGTTTTCACAGCGCAAACAGGAGTTGTGCAACGCCCTGGGATTTCCAACAGCTGGCCTCTCTCATCCCCGCTCCTCATACCGGTGCTGCCAACGGGCACCGAATGTTTGTGCAAACCGTACCAACGTGCGAGGAGAGCGGAGCTTGCTGCAGCCAGGAAGCATTCCTCGCAGTTAAGGTCCTTGGAAATCCCCTTGCGTAAGGAGCGCCTCAGAAAATTCACACAGCGATAACGCCTTGAACCTTATCATTCATCACTGGCATCATCAATTAAGAACTGTGTTTGAGAGGTGCACAAAATACCCAGCCCTCTCTCCACTACAGACGAGAAGTCTGATTTGGCTTGGAAAAGGAACTTTAACCATCTAAGAGAATCCACTCAGAGATGTTTTTGGACTAGCGAAGAAGCAGTCAGGAGAAGAGTAAAATTCATCACGTTTTTCACCTTTGCTGTTTTCAACAAAATTCCTCGCTACATGAAGCTTCTCTCTAGCCTGCACCAACGACGGGTCATCTCAGAGACTCCCAGTGCCTGCTTTTTGCTCATCTCCATCTCCTCTTCTCCCATTCTTGGGGCTCACCTGTAGTCATGGGTGAGTGTGACACAAGATTCCTCCTTCCTGAGTCTGGCCAGGAGCGCTCCACCCTCCAGCTGCAGCCTGACCAGCCGCGCATCTTCAAGAACGTTCTTCATCAACTGTCTGTAATTCCTCAGCAGCACAGCTGCCTCCTGGAGGGATCACAAAGGGAGATGAGTGGTTACTGCAACCTACAGGCAATGAGGAAACAGGCAAAAACCAGCAGCCGACCCAAACCACACACAAACCACCTCTCACCTTGGCCCACCCTAGGAAAGAGGGAGGTTGGCTCCCACGGCTGTTTCTGTCGAGCCTGCCAGGCCTGAAGCAATAAACAGTGCTCCTTATGCTCTCGATGCTTTCCTCACCAGGCCAAAATTGAAATCCAGTTCCTATCATTGTCCCTACCCCATTTGCTGGGCATAGAAGGAATGAGCTTTCCAGCCTCATTTTCCACTCACAGCTAGCTCCTACTGTTCTTAGAGCCTGGACCTGCATGCTCCAAGCCATGGGACACGATGCATGTGAAGGGTTTGTGAATATACACACGGATGCAGGAAGACCCAGAGAAGCCACCATTATTTTACTGCTGGGACACTTAATGCAGAGCTGGCAGCAATTTCCTACCCTGCCAGGGGTACAGCAGCTTCTCCAGACAAGGGGATACAACATTACAGGTTGCCCAGAGAAGCTGTGGCTGCCCCATCCCTGGCAGTGTTCAAGGCCAGGTTGGATGAGGCTTTGGGCAACCTGGTGTAGTGGAGGGTTTCCCTGCCCATGGCAGGGGGGTTGGAACTAGATGATCTTTAAGGTCCCTTCCAACCCAAACCATTCTATGATTCTATGATTCTATGACATGTTTGCAACAACACTGGCTCGGCCTTCGTACCTTTCTCCTTTTGCCCGCTTCCAAATTTCTGTTCTGGAGGCAGCAGCAAAGCTGGGACCACAGCACAGCCTTGCCCTTGTGAACACCATCTCTGTTGTCACCTAACTTTATTCCGGGCCATTCCAGCCAACCTGGCGTGGCACAGCCTGAGGCAGGTGCTCAGTACCAGACACACCAAAGCTGGGAGCAGCCCCAGCGCTGTGGAGCTGCTCAGAGTGCACCCCAACGCCGGAGCAAGCACTCAGCAGCCACAAGCACAGCTGATGAGGAGATCTCCTGGGTGACACTGACGGATCAGAGAATCAGCTTCTACACCCAGTGGAGCCCCTCTCACTTCATTTGGATTAGCTTCTACTTGTCCCGCTGTCCTGCCAGCTCCACAGTGACACAGCACTCGGAATACCCTGCTACTACAGCTTGCAAATCCAAAGCTACAGCTTTTCTGCAGCTATCCAGCCTCCTGCTCTCCTCCCTCCCAGGCCCACCTCTGACACGAGGTGAGGGACACGCTTACCTCAGCTCTTTCTGGTAATTTTCCAGATTCCACTTTATGAATGGCTCCCTGGAGGAAGGCACAAGCACCTTGGCATCCTTGCAGCAAATGTTCCAGCTTCTACAAGAAGAAAGGACCAAGGCAGAGGGTATTGTCTCCTGACTTACAAGAAAGCTGTCTTTTCAGCTTGCAGAAGGTTAAAAGGACCGAAATCCAGAGAGGATCAAACACATTAACCCAAGGGTTCGATTATACCACTCGGTGAGGCTGTGTCAGCAAAGAGAGGCCCATCAGAGGCTTCAGATGCATCACACTATACCAAAGCCTCTACACAGACCTTCTAAACTTGCATACTCGTGGCTTGTATGGGCCATGCTTTAGAGGAAAATAAATAAAAAGTCAATACACTTATGTCCCACATTCTTCTATGATTAGCATTTCTGGTAACTTCCCACTGAGATGAATCACTATGCATGAATTTGGGAGGACCAAAACATAGAACGAGTACTTGGAATTTCTCTACTTATTTCTCTTCATGTTAAAAGTAGTGTAAATTAATGATTAGGAAACTGGAAAGCTTCCACAATTAAGCACCTTTAACTACTGACAGATCTGAAATTCCTTTTCTTTTGGGGCGGCGGGGAGAAGGACAAAAAACAACAAAACAAAAAAAAACCCCAAACATTTCACAGGGGTTCTCGAGACAGTACTTTTCTAAAAAGTCAGTGATATAAAGCCTCAATAGTGTCAGATGCCACCCTCTAGCCACTGAAATCAGAGAATGGAGAAACAGCAATTCCAAAACAAGCATGCTCAAAACAAAACACCACCCCAAAAAAAAAAAACCCAGCTGTTTGAATCTTTACTGAACTGAACTCCCTCCCTGGAGCGCTGGAACAGCCCCAGCAGTGACAGATTAGCAGACAGGATGCAGGTGAGATCCCTGGGACAGGAAATAAATGTTGTTTGTCACACAGCTGCAGATCTGAAGGAGCTGAGCACGTGGGTCAGCACATCATATAAATAGGTAACCCATGTAGATTGATTCCTACACTAACTCCCTTTGGTAACATTTCGCACGTTAAGATGCAAGACACAAACAAGAAGTAGTCTGGTACCTTGCTCCTTCCTTCAAAAATTATCCTTCTCCACGGACAGGGCACCTCAGCTCTCAAGTTTTTCTCAGCTCTGTCCAAAAAACCAATCCATAACCTCTTGCAAAGCTTCTCCGCTTCCTCACTGTCAAATAAAGCTCAAATTCTCAAACTGAATCCCAGGCACCGAGAATCGGCTTCTGTACTTCTACCACATAGGCACGGGTTCATACTGGTGCTTTTAGAGGCAAGTTTAAAAAATGGGTTTTAAAATAAGTTGGAAAAAATAAGCTAACATTTGGCACACGCTAAGCCGCACCGCTGAAGCTTGCCACCAGCAACGCAGCGGTATCATCAATGATATCTTAACCTGCTTCAAAGGCTGCACTGTGCCATGCAGCACCCCGGGCAGCGAGACCAGAGCCAAAAGACCACCAAGTATTTTGGAAGCTGCGGTGATGGTTCTGTCACCAGAGTAAGTCAAACGCAAAGTGAAGACAGCCAATTTGTGTGCAGGTCGAGGGAGGGGATTCTGCCCCTCTAATCTGCTCTCCTCAGACCCCCCCCCATACAGTGCTGCGTTCAGCTCTGGGGTCCCCAACATCAGAAGGACATGGAGCTGTTGGAGCAGGTCCAGAGGAGGCCACAAAGATGATCCGAGGGCTGGATCACCTCTGCTCTGGAGACAGGCTGAGAGAGTTGGGGCTGTTCAGCCTGGAGAAGAGAAGGCTCTGGGGAGACCTTCCAGTGCCTAAAGGGGCTACAGGAAAGCTGGAGAGGGGCTTTGGACAAGGGTGTGTAGTGACAGGACACGGGGCAATGGATTTAAACTGAAAGAGGGGAGATTTAGACTAGGTAGGAGGAGGAAATTTTTCACTCTGAGGGTGCTGAGGCACTGGAACAGGTTGCCCAGAGAAGTGTAGATGCCCCATCCCTGGCAGTGTTCAAGGCCAGGTTGGATGAGGCTTTGAGCAACCTGGTGTAGTGGAAGGTGTCCCTGCCCATGGCAGGGGGGTTGGAACTGGATGATCTTTGAGGTCCCTTCCAACCTTAACCAGTCTATGATTCTATGATCCTATGATTTAATCCTCTCTGGTCTCAGTGTGCCAAATCATGCCTCGATACAGCTTTTAAAGATTCCGCAAGCACATGATCCACAGACCCACGCCCGCTCCGCAGCACGAGTGTACCCAGAGCGGGGTACTGGTGCCACAGATGCTACTTGTGCGGATTTCTGGCAGTCTGCACGTTCCCTGTGGCACGGCCAGCAACACCTGGAGTCCTGCCACAGATCATCAGCACATGCCACGCTGGTGCCCACAGCACCCTTTGTCAGGGCTCCCTTCTTTAGCAACAGTGTCTGGGCGCTGCGGTTTCAGCCCCTCTACCCTCGAGGCTGAATCTGGGTCAGCTCAAACGTTTCCACGGGGTAGTCACCTCCCTGCACGTTGGGCTTGCTCTAATCCGCAGCCGGCTACAGTTCACTGTAGACCTCTTGATCCAGGACCCTTCTGGAGAAAAGCACGAAGGTCAAACAGGATCATGGCAGAGAGGCATATCCAGAGCAGCCAAACGAGGGAAAGAACAGATTGCTGGTACTGCCTCCTACTGTTATCTTGGTCCTGAGACTCACCCAACACGGAATCTGCGTTTCTTTTGTTTCTTTGCCTCACGTGGCCAGCTCTCAAAGGGGAATTCAGTGCTCTCCTGGGCTAAATCTTCTCTGTGTTTTTAGTTTAGATGCTTTCCTAAAGTTTTTAGGTGTGATGACAACTTTGGTAAGTGAGTGAATTATATCTAAAGGAGGAAAAAAGTTCCTAGAAGCATCTGAATTGATTAACAGGAACTTCCAAGTTTCACTCCTACCAGGATTGCAGTTTTCACTCAGGAGCATCTAGCCTGGCCTGGGGAACCTGCTGCAAAACCAACAATGCTAAGTTCTTGATTGCTAGTTCAAAGGCAACGTGATACTAACACCTTCTCCTGAGATTAGCACAAGAAGTGTCTGCCCTTCAAGCCCCAGACTATAACCAAAGAGAAGTGCCCCTGGTTATTACAACAAACCAGGATTCTGTTTCTTCCTTCCCTTCAAAATATGGCCAGATCTGAATTAATGCAGTTCAAGCAGATGAGTTAAGAACTAAGATTTTAGTTCCTGTAGTCATGCCAATAGGTCGCAGTGTGCACTCATTTTATGGAGACAGTATTAATATTCTTTTGATAACAGATTCATTTGCATACATAGCTATTACAGGAACTATTGTCTTTTAAAGCTGTTGATAAGCTCCTCTTGCTTCGTTACCATGCCATTTCCTCTCTCAGACACCAAAGAACAGGAGGCATCCTACTCACCATGCGAAAGCTTAACCAGTCCCGGTGGCAATAAGGGAAGGTCCCATCCAGCTCTAGAGGCAGCTGTGAGCTGTCTATGTGCTTATGGAGGGACTTCATGGAGGTGAGAAGTTCAAACTGCACGGGAATAGAAGAAATAAAAGCACGTTCGCATTAAGGTGTGAGTATTGGAGGAGGAGGAGGGGAAGGTTAACGAAAGACAGCATCCTTTATTTCTTCATCTATCTTGTGTAGAAACAAGGCACGCAGCATCCATCTGCAACGTAACTACAGTACGAAGGGAAAAAAAAAAATCAATTCAATGTTAGAGCAGCTTGCTGTACGGCTTAGTGGGCGAACCTTGAGGGAATGCAGGCCACAACACGCCGTTTCACCAGGCAGAACATCTGTCATGGAAGTCTGGCAGCAGTCAGGCTTCTCCAGAGCCAGTACCTCCCAGTATAGGCAGAGCAACTCCCTCATATGTTCCCACGTTGCGCTCTGATTTGCATTTGTTTGGAGAGTCTGAGAGGTTAAATCCAGCTCCCAGCTTCCCCATTTCACTTCCTGGAAAAACAGTCTAACAGAGCAGCCTCTGCCCTGCCCTCAACTCTCCACTCACCACAGCAGCTGTTTGCTCCAAGTGTTTCCTGGATCTTGACACAGATAACTTGCCTTCTGTGAGGCTGTAGGACCTCAGAGCGTTTTTATACTCAGCAGAGAAACAGACAAGTGCTCCTGCAGGTACATGGAAGCCAGCCCAGACACCAGGAATTCAGGTGCAGCCATTTAACCCTCCCACCACCACCACATGCTGTGAAGTTTCCACCTCCTTACAAAATAGTGATGATGTTTCCAATTCCTCCCGCATGCCCGCGTCTTTACTGGCCTTTGCTCCGCTCCCTCCTACGCCTTTTGTATTTGTTCAATGTGTTTAACATCTTCTGCAGCTCTCCCTGCGTGCACATGCCTGCAGTCCCCATTCTCACTTCAAATCCTTCCACTCAGGGGCAATGAGGAAATGGACTAATGGCATTTGTTATTCTTCACCCTTTCGGGGCGAGCACATCACGCACAGCTCAACTGATGCTGTTCGCAATGTTTTCATCCACAGGAGCCAGAAGGGAGGCCCTGGCCTACTCTAAAGTGTACGGAGTTTTGGCAGGCACAGAATTTCAGTCCGCTCTTGTAGCTTGTAACAGTTGTAGAGCAGGGAGAGGTGACTAAGATGCAGCCTGATGCTCTATTCACTCAGCACAGACAAAGAGTGGCTGAGAGCCTACATTTCTTACACAACTATGGAATATGGAGGCAGATTTACTTCTAGTGGGGGTGTTCAGCAACGTTGTGATGAATTTCCCTCCTCTATTACCACCTCCTGTTAGCCTTCCTAGACATTTCAGCTGCAAAGGGAACATCACACACATGCATATCTCCTCTTTCCTCTCTCACAGAAGTCTCTCAGCCACTAACAGCATCAGCTACGAGGAGAGGAAACACGAGATATGCAAAATCTCGTGGAAAAGCAACAAGAAACCTTCAAAGGATGGAGCTCAGGATTTAGCCTAACATGATCTCTTCCTGACCAAGGATTTTCCCCCCTTGTTAAGAGGGGAACACGAAAAGCACCCCTATCACTGTTAATTGTGCAGGGCTCCTCCACACAGCTATCCATGTTTCCAACAAACCCCCTGTGTCTTGAGGGCCCCAGCAGACTGACACAATTACGGTGCGAATGTCACCGATGGACTCGGCAATAAACACGGCATGACAGAGATATGTTCAGCTTGTATAAACTTTACAAGCCTATAAATACCACACCCGTAAGAGACCACAACCATAAAACACAGAGAACAACTACAGAGATTTCATGTGGGAATAAACATATGTCACGGACAGAGAACTCGCTGCTTGGAAAGTTAAACGGAGAACATCAAGAGCAACCTCTGGATGAATGGTCCCATTACCTGTCCTGCTGGTGGCTTCTCCATCCGAAAAGTCAGATCTCTTTCAACCAGAAGCAGTACTCCATGAATGCAATGAGGATCGATGTCCTACAACAGAACAGAGTGCAAATCCATTACCTATCTGCCTGGGATGCTAAGGAGAACATACGACAGCAGGTTTGCACAAGAGGTTGCATTTTATCCTTCAAAGGCATTTAGGAAGCCCAGAAGACAGTCATCAGGTATAGGGAAGGCCATTCTACAGAGCACCAAGGCTATGTCCTTAGGGTAGTTTCTTCAGATCAACTAGTCCAGCAGTATTTAAGGAAACAATGAAAAAGGTCAGGTCTTGGCTGTACTAAAAAAACCCTCTGCCTTCCCCATAAGGAAACGTGTTGGGGGAGGAAAAAAACAAAAACACAAAAACCACCACACTAAAAAAAAACCCCAAATCATATCCAATGTCCAAGTTTTTTCTTGATAACTTTCCTGGTCACTTCTAACTGAAAGGAAGTTAGTTTTTTTTTTTTTCCCACAGTGCCAAAAACGTCATCTTGTCTTTACTTACTGCCAACTCACAATCAAGGACTTGCATCCTGTCACTACTGTTAAACCGACAGAAATTCCAAATACAAGGGCCGTCTGGCAGCTGCGGTTCAAACTCTGTGATGCAGGAGCAGCTCTCCAATGATAGAAGCACTCTACAGGGAAGTGAGAAACAGGCAGAGAGCAACAGCAGGAAGAAGGAAACAGCAGAAAGATCCAGATCGTGGAGACAGGGCCCACGAAACACGATGCCTGGATCTGCACAGGAAGGAGCACAGTCGTTTGAGCTGTCATTCCACATGGTTAAGTAAGAGCCACCCCATCTAGATGTCTCCTAGATGGTCTTTGCCTCTGCAAATATCTCAGAAACTGAGCAGCAAATCCTTTCTGGTATTGCTTGAGCTGCAAGGAACTCGCCACACAGCAGGCCATGACGGCAAGGGAATCCTGTTTAAATAAACGGCTCCAAGCAGCGTTTAAGGTTAAATATCCAACAGGAGTGGCAGAGCCAGAGGAGAGAGTGCACCAGCAGAGACTGAGCCGCCTAACCCGACTCTGGGCCCAGCAGGGCAATTAAGAAACAACACCAAAGCAAGGAGACCCAATTCTGCAAGCAAAGCAGCAGCAGCAGAGATTCCAGAGCAGAAAACAAGACCTTTCTCTCAATCCTTTTGAACTGTCAGGAAAAAAAAAATCCCAACAGAAACACCTCCCAGAACAGTGAGAGGTTTATCAGTCTTCTCAAACCCCTTTCTCTGAGGCAAATTATTCACACTTTCACTGTTATTTGAACACTGATCAAGCAGCTGAAAAGAATTTATTGCATAATTGGGCTGCATTAGGTAAATACTAAAGTGCTGAAGAGAGGATGGGGAGGTATTACAGCTGCATCAGCAGCTTGGAATTTGTCTGCCAGAAAGTACTGAAGGATGAAGACTGGCCACAGTTTCAAGACAGTTCATGGCACAAAACAAACTTATTCTTTCACAACTCTTCTACCCTAAGAGTCATGAGATGAGCAATCTGAGCAAGGGACAAAGGTAGTGACGGTGTAACACCAGGTTACAACGACAGCTAAAACACTCACTTGCTTGTTTTGTTACTGCTAAAAATAGAGACTGAAAAACCATTCACAAATAAAAGCTGTCAGGAGACAAGCTCAGGGCTTTCCAATCCAAGAAGTAGTTGTATTTCTGAAGAAATTGAGTATTTTTCACCATATTTTTGTCTTTAAACAGCTGAAGATAAGTCAGTCTCATCCAGCACTGATGGAGCATCCAAAGAGACTAAAACAGTTTACAGGAGCATCTTGGGAGACAGGCAGAGCTGGAAGCAGCAGGATTCTCCTTGGGGAAGCCTTCCTGCAGCTTTCCACACAATCTTGTATCACCTCTGCTAACAAAACCAGCTGTCTGGAAGCAAAGACACAGAGTCCCACACACATAAACAAACTCCTCACCTCCCAAAAAAGGCACAGTGTGGACAGCGTAGAACAGAGGAGCATCAACAGGAGCTCAGAAAGCACCAGGTTAAATACCCATCCCTTTACTATTATTCTTTAAAGAGAGAATTAGGCAGTGAAGTTTCAGTCTTCTGGCTTCCTGACCCAAACGGAAGCCCAAACATCACCAGCACAGTCTGAAGCACAGGCTGCCAGAAACACCAGCGCAGATGGGACAGTCCTCACATACCATGTTCAATCTCCAAGTGACCACTTCTAAGGGAGTAGTAGGAGGTCCCTGCTCTTCAACATCAGACCAAGGTCCTCTGCACTTCAGCAGTAATAAGGCATTTAATATGAACAGAAAGGTTTGCACAGAAGTCTTCTGCTTTGAACAGCTGTTCTATCTCTGTTTTCACTAACAGACTCTTCCCTTCCCAATCCAACTCTCAGATGCGGCAGATTACAGGATTAAGCATTTGTACTGATAGGTGAAATTCAAAAGAACCTCACTCTACAAAGGCTCAGGCCGAGGGAAATCCCCCAGATATCTGTTCCCTGAAGACCAGGGCATACATTCCACTGTCCATGCCCCGCCTGCTCACTGATCAGGGGATCAGCCCAGCACTACCAAGGAGCAAAGTTCCTCCGAACAGGTCCCCCAGCACAGAGCTTACTGCTGACAACCGGCGACCAAACATCACAGCAGCATTTACCTCCACAAAAATCCTTGCTCCGAAGCATCATTATGCAGCTTCCCACAGGAACAAGCATGATCTAATTCTTGCAGCATGCACACACTGCGCGTTTCCCTTCACCTCCGTACGGGCCTGCCAGAGTTCCTCCTCCCTCCTTCCTGACTTAGCTCTGCTGCAGCACTTTATTCTGCCGCTGCTCCCAGTACTGTCTGGGACAGAAGGACTTCAAGCAGTGCCCAGCCACCCATATTCTCAAAAGGAAGGAGGAAAAAAGTCTTGCAGAACATAACTCCCCCCATCCTGAAGGCAGAGAAGATGAGAAGCTTTCACCAGTTTACTGTGTGGCTCTAGACAGAGTAACTGATAGTCTCTCTACACTGTAAGGAAAGCTACCTGCCAGCACCAGAAGTTGTGTATGGGCACTTAAAAAGTCCGTTCACACATTTATTCTGGAAAGATGGAAGAGTGGAGTAAGTATTTCCTCAGATTGCCAGATCTTGACCCAGA